ATGTGCCACTGTGCCTTGTACTGTTTCTGAATTATTTTGATACTTATATTTTCTTACTGCTCTCAAAATCCTCAGAGCTGCTCTATTTCAATAGAACTCCTCCCTTGTTCACTTCTCTTAGCATAAAATACAACAGTAAATTAATATTCTTACATTGAATGTTAAGGAAAAAAAATTTAAAGCCCCACATGATCAACACAGATTTTCTCAGGCTTTTATTTGCTCTTTTTAAAGGGCAAAAACTATAAAAAAATTATCAGTACTAGTGTACTGATTTACCGTATGAGCACAGATTATAATTTTACGTAAAAGTATTTAAATTCAAAACACTAAAACAATGACAGCATCACAGTTGGTTTCTGTCTAGTTTTTCTAAAAAAAAATTACAGTTACAGATTTTGCCATTTTTTTGCATTATTATTATTATTTTATTTTTTATGTTATAGGAGGAAAATAAGATAGAATTTACATAATCAGTGCAAGTGTCCAGATTGCTTTATATTATTTTTTAAGCAAACAGAGCACAATAGCAATCCTTTAACCATCTACTAACCTCAACTTGATTTGCATTGAAAAACAGGTAGAGCATAGTAGTTGAGGTTTGTGCTTCGTAAAAGCAAGAGAAATACATGGCAGTTGCAAAGCATTCTTAACCTCCAGTGATTTATTGGCCCTCAGCCAAGTTATCAGGGGAATCTAATTCTTCTTTATTATTCAAATAAACCACATTTGGCACCATGGTTCCTTTTCAGAATAGCTTCACAAATAGAATGAGTACTGTCATTTATTTGACCTTGTACTTGTGTGCTGTAGCTATAATTTTATTTGCCATTTCATAGAACAAATGCACAGAAAGCCAAAATAAGGAAATAGGTTGTGCTACTGGTAATAGAGTAAACACGTAATATACCTGTTGGTTTTGCCTGCTTTATTTTCAAAAGGACAAATTCTCAAAATGTTATTCTTGTTTTCTTCTTTTTTCATCTCTATTATCTATCTCTTATTATGCCAGCAGATGCAAGCTGCACTGTTCATTTTTAGTGAGCTCTCTTTTCAACAGGCCAATCTGCAAACCTGCTCTGTGTCCTGGACAAGTAGCAGCAAAGGTAGGAAATATTTTACTTTAAGATGTGGACCCTACAGGGGGGAAACAATGCATATTGCTGTGTACAACAACTGTAAGAGGTGATTAGGAACTTGTTTCCTGAATGCAAAGCATCCTAGCCAGATTATTAGTTTATAATATTTTGTATTGAACCTGAAACATCATATGTCAGACAATTTTATCCTTTCTGGATAACACATTTTTAATTTGTTTCTGGATAGACTTTTCTCCTTTTTTGTTACTATTTATGTTTCAGCATATGTTTGGTCTAAGTCTCAAACACAGAGACTTTCCAAGAGAATTGAAATCTCTTAGGGAAGCACTCACACTGACTTCTAAGTGCTGGAAGGAACAATTTGAATGCCTCTTCAGTGGTTAGCCATTTTTTTTTTGAAATCTCATCCCATTTCTAAAAGGAAATCAGAGACTGAGGATTCCAAAGATGGAAGTTACACTTATATAAAAAATTACCTACTGACTTGGAAAATGTATGGGACTAGATATATATAAAGAATAAATATTTTTACATCCAGTGTAAAATGATATTTGTATTGGTTACACCACCACAGATCATGTTGTCCAATCCAGAGAAGAAATCCTGGCCATACTGCACATTTATAGACATTTTAGGGTCTTTCAACAAATACAGTTCATGAAGGAATTGAAAAGTATGTTTAACCATTTCATCTTGCCTCAAGGATAACTGAGCTATGACAATTAACACAGACTAAAGTCAATATACATAGACACTTTAATCAGGACATTGTTGGTCCATTTCTCTTGCTTTGACTCTTCCCCTTCTCTCAACCATTATTTTCTAACTCTCAGCCAACTCTCTTTTCCTAAACTTTGACATGTATCTCTGTTCTCTGAAACTGCTCTGATTGTAATTCCACAGTGTGGTCTGAAACATACATCTGCCAAACTAGCTTAAAATTATTGGTAAGTATTAGCCAGAAAATAAATTATTCAAAAAATATACGTTGATTGATTTCTACATTTAAGTTATATTCATTAGAATGTCAAAAGTGTATTTATTGCAATTTTTGTTTACTGTTCAAATATACTGTTACTTTTGCCAGTGGTAACTTTATTATTAAAATTTCCAGGCTACCTTCCAAGACATTGTTTTATCAGATTTGTTTACTATTAGTCCTGCAGCTATCTTAGAACATTGGCATCCATTTGTTTTGCACCAGTGGCTCTAAACGTTCAGAAAAGAGTAAAATTGACTACCATAACTGTTGTCACCTGCTGAGATTCAATACAAGAACTATTTTCCTTTATCTAGGAGACATGAGATTTTGTTTTGCAAATAAAAAATATATTTTGCACTATTTCCATGCATACTAGTTAAAAAATAAAAATAAAAACAAAATAAACCACCAAACAAGGATGAAGTCCTAGAGAAATAATTTTACTAAAAAATAAGACTCCAAAGTCAGCACTTGATGAAGATATTTCAAATAATAACACCTTTAAGCACAACACTGCCTGGACGTTCTATATGAATATAAAGTTTTGGAGTATCAGCATAGGGTATATCAATATTTACTTGCAGTGCAAGAAATACAACACCACATGTATCACATAGCACCAACCCAGAAATTCTGAATTCATGATTATTTAAAGTTTGGTGTGGTGAAAATTGTAGCACTTCCATTTATATTTGAGAAATGCTTCTATGGATAGACTTGCTAATATTTTTAGCAACAAATAAGCTTTGACTATTGATTTAGTAGGAAGTAGCTACAGCACTTCTTTTAAAATTATTAAGAGACTAGGGATATAATGCTGTACCAAGACAACAATATATCAAAAAAATATAAATACTATAGGTCTTAGAAATACAAAATGTCTCCATAAAGACAGAAGAGAAGAAAAGGAAAAAACAGATATTTTAGTAAATCTCAGTAGATTTAATTTATTATTCTATAAAAATCCACAATGCTGGTTCTGATTTTTGGTAGTTTTTCCATCAGTACTTTCAGTGGCGAATGCACAGAAATATTTGCCCAGATATTTCCAATATTTTAACATACAAAGAAAATTGCTTCATTTATCTGAACCCTTTCTTTTAATGTATATGGATCGAGATGGAGTGTAAAGTCTTAACAACATGATGTGAGTTCAGAGTAAGGAGAGATTTATCAACTCTATAGTTTGAAAGACAGTGGCAGAAAATGCTTTTAACAGGAGACTAACATAGGGTTAAAGCCAAATTTTTCTTGAACAGATGATATTTCAGATGGCCACACTATTCCAGATGCATCAATTTCCTTGAAAATCCAATCCATATATGTGCATATGCTGTGCTGGCAGGAGGACTGACTGAAATGGCCAAAACCCAAGAGCTAATATTCTTTTGGCCAGAATAATGCAATTATTATTTTCCTAGCTATCAGTCTAAGCATACAGAGCCATCTGTTATGCAAAGCAAACATACACATCTCAATTACAGAAAATGCAGTTGCCTTGACAGAATTTGGATTACACCACTAACCAGGGCTGTAAAATTTGTTTTAAGCTAGTGTATAATGGATGCCTTTCAGGAGTTTCCTAATTAGCATTTACCTGCTTAAACTAATTATCCATCCTTCTTCTTTACTGGCTTATTAGACTTTGTTGGATACTATGCATAAACCAGATTAATATGAACATAAGACAATAATAAACATTAAAGTTCCAATTCTTTACTGTATTAGCAACATGGTGGTGCACCGATTTCAAAATGTGAGATTCTTGATACTAACTCCCAAACAGATTAAGTCAGGGATTAAAGTCTATTACAAAACGAGGGACTTTAATGAGAGACAAGAATACTGATATGAGCTAGAAACAGTTCTTGTTTCCATTTCTATCATTGGGTTTGCCAAAGCCAGCACAAAATAACAATTACTGAACTTATTACAGCCAATTGCTTGTGTGTTCTTTGAGGACTTAATGAGCCTGTATTCGTATTCTCACCAGATAATATTGAAAATTAATCTTTTTTTTGTCACCAAATATTAAAGTTTCTCATTTAATTTTGGGTGGGGTACAGCAAAACTGACAGTAAGTAGCCTATGCTAATAGTTCCTTCCTCATGGCTGTGTGGGTCCCAATTTAAAGTAGCTGAAATAAGTATTATTTCAATTTTTCTTTTCCTCCTCAGGGTGATTGCAGTAGATGGTCCCACTCTGAAAATCATCATGCGAAATATTTCTGCTTCATTTCTAAGTGCAAGCAGAAAGAAGCTATCCTGCCTAAACATTTCTGAATGCTGCAGGATTAAGAACTAACAACTAACTTTTGCCCCACTTCTGCCCTGCCTTTTAATATTTGAAAAACTGTTGAAATAAATGAAAAAAAAAATCCCAAACCAAAACCTTCCAAATTACTATAGTTTATAAATTCATCTTTTCATACTAGTGAGCATTAGTGAAAGCTTCAAAATGTGTCCTTGTTGGAACCCTCCCTGCAAGACATTTTAATGGTCTCTTTCAGCATTTCTTGACTCCAAATGACTCCCTGTCATCGTGTCAGCTCCCTGGATAATGCAGGGTACTCCATAAACATCCAGTAATAGGACACAAGGGAAGTACTATTAGAGTGTCCCTTTCCTATCAGGTATAGAGGTTTAAAGTTCAAAACAACTGAGAAAAGAAACTTCATTTGTTCTCAATAAATTAATAATGATCCTTTGTGGCAAAAAGTTCAAAAAGTTTTCATACACATCTCAACATCCAATACCACAGACACATTTTTCAGTTGTGTCTCAGGATGAACAGGATGCAACTTTAAACAGCTAATTCAATAATCCATACAAAATACAGAAACCAAATAATTTTTTCCTTAATAAACAGAAGAATGCATCATACACAGTTATGTTCTAGAATTGAAAGCATGTACTTACTTGGGACAGGCCTAAATAGATGGAGACAGTTTCTGAAATGTACAAAAATTTTCCTTCTTGATTTAGTGCAAATACAAATCCATCCAGGGACTGCAGAGTAAGAGGAAAAAAAAGAAGTGAATAGATTAATAAAAAATTCCAAACTACAAATAGAAATAGATTCAAACAAAGACATCACAGAATAAATTGAGGAAAATATTCTGACTTTTGTGAGAGTGGTTTTAATTTGGACCCTTAAGACAATTCCTTTCTATTCTGTCTACATATTAATAAACATCATATGAGTATATTACTAAGTCCAAGTTGATGAGTATATACTAGTTATTTTACTGCCATGCTTATATCTGCCATATACTGTATAACATTTATCTCATTTGCTTCATAGAAGAAATATAGAAAAATAAAATATTCTCTCTTTTTTAATGAAGAAATAAATAAGGAAACAAATAACCTTCCAACTGAATGGCATATATAAAAAAAAATCACCCCCCATTGTTCAGAATCAAAGCAGAGAATTTCCATTTCCAAAAACTCAAATGGAGAAAATAAAATCCTGCCATCACTCAGATCACTATGGACCTCAATAATTTGTAAATTAATTGAGGATTACACACACATGCATGCACATGCACACATATAAGCATACACCATTTTCCTTTTGTGAGACAACAAAGCCAATCAGCAGATTACTGTCAAATATGTTTACAGCTTAGGTCTCTAGAAATGCTATGAATTTCATCCCTTTGGTGTAAAAGTCTAGATCAGATTTTACTTTGACAGATTCAAGTCTTTGGATATGGTTTTCCTTGCAACTGAAAAAATCAAAATACAATTACAGTGATTAATGGATACCTTTTGAAACATGAGTGCAGTTAATAAACAGAGGACTATATTCTAAACTGACACAGAGTAAATCAAGGAACATCCAGAAGGGAGTATACCTCTACAAATAAGAGTAAATCTTCACTAGGAAGAAACTACCTTCATACACTATCTATGTCTTTACCTTCCTGCCTTTTATGAGGATGACTATTGACAAAAAAATCATTGGCTATTGCAAAAGTAAAATCACAAAATTCCAGAAATTAGAAATGCTAAAACAGCTCAGAAAATATGAAACAGCCCAAATGTCAGGAGGAACAAGGAAAAATCCCAAAAATCCCACCCCAAGTATCCCCTTGTGATAAAGGAACATGTAAAGGAAATATTAACTGGGATTAGCCTGGTTTTTCCTTGGAAGGAAAAAGCACATAAATTTGATGGAGATACGTGATGAAAAAATAATGTAGTCGCTCCTTTACAAATACACAACAGTGATTTCTGAGGGGTTTTAATATTTCTATTCTTCTGCTTCTTGACTAATTTCTGACAGGCTACTAGTCAGAAGCTGTCTTTGGCAAAATTTCACCCCACTCTGATGTAGTAGGTGGTAGAATTAGTTCAAAATCTGAGTTTTCTAAAAGTAATAGACTGCATATTGGAAAACAAACCCTCACTAAAGACACTGCATTTAAAAAAGACTCTAATTTATATTTATGAATTAATAAAAATGTAAATCTGCATAGATTTCCTTCATGTAAAAACATTTATATTATGCAAGTAATTTATGGCCTCTTATAAATCATCATCATTTCTTTCTCAAATTATTAACATCACTTCCTTGAATTTTTAACATCAATAACAGGTGGAAAATTTGGAACAGTGAAAGTTCAAACTTAAAATCATTCCAGGACAATCAAAACCTTTACACATCTGATCTCTCCCACAATATACAATCTCTTACTCAGCGAAGTAAATCTTTAACGGTCTTAGTTAAATATTCCTGATTCTCTGTCCCGTGCTCCTTTGAGAAAACTGGTTTAACCAGCTGGGACACGGCTCTGTCTCCCTGGCCACCACTACAGAGCTCCATTCTCCACCATCACCAGGACACTGTCACACAGACGGGCACCAAAGGGCTGTCTGCAGCAGTCAGCTCCCCCGGCTGTGGCAGTATGTGCAGACACGCTTCAGAACAGTGTTTGCAATACGAGTTATGACAAGCCTACCAGAGGTTTCTTACTAACCCATTCTTAGCAGTTGGCATGACTGTGATATCTGCCTTTCTTGAGGAAAGATGTTTCACAGATTATTTGTGCATCATATAAAAACAACTTTCCTCTTCTCAGTTTTTTATATAGCTTTTGGTGTGGTCCCCTTGGTCTGTTACTTGAGAGAGTGATGCACAGTTTAAGCACATTTATGATCTGGTCTGTTTAGCACACTGCATTAGTGTGTAACTATCTGGCATATCTGGACAAAGTTTTGTAAGAACCGGGAAAAAAAATTCTCTGAGTCACTGATGGCTTTTCTGCCTCTTNCACATCATCTTATTTAGGAATTCAGGCTTAATGAAACAAAAGGAAGGAATTTGAAGGAATCTTTGAGTACTGATTAGGCAGAAATGTTTCACTCTGTGTAATTTTGAAATTGGTGGAAACCAGTTTTGCTGGAAAAATAGAAACAAATAAAACTACCTCTAGTAGACATAGCTGTACAAAGAAATTTCAACCTGCATGGCTAAAGTTTGAAAGCCATCAGTAACTGGAAGGGTGTTGAAGTGACAAGTGTTAGTCATTTTAAGCACTTTCTACTTTTCCATGCTATTAACTCTGATTCTCTCCTTTCAATTAAATAGCTTTACTTTATTAGTTTTACTTGTTTAGTCTTTTTTTCTCTTTCTTTCTGGGAGACTATTCCTTACTTTTGCCCCCAAGTTTTACAAGGGAGATAATTGAGGAAGCAACACTGAAGGACTGGCAGGGCCAATGCAGCACACCAATACCTTTGGATATGATCAGTAACTTCCCGTGCCATAAAATGTGTTCATTAACCCATCTGAGGCTACGAAGTCATGGTCATTCTTTCTCCATTTCTTTTTCCACCTGACTGAAGTTATGCTTATGTGCAACTACTAACCAAATCCAGCATTTTGTCCAATCGAGCAAAATCAGAGTTTATTTAACCATATTTTGAAAGAGCCACAGATTAACAGCTAATGGACACCTAACTTCTTCCATGCCTGAAATACAAAGACATTGGAACAAAAGCTCCAAGTACTAAGCTAGAGTTCCAATACCTAAGAAAAATGACAATAAAAATAGGAGGAGAAACAGCCATCTTCCAATGCAAGGCAGATCCTCCCACCAGTATGAAAGGGCTGAGACAGACCACTTTTGTGACAATGTTGTTGTTCCTTCTACAGGTCAAACAGTAGTTCTGAAGGACTGTCTCATTCGTTATTCATAGGTATTATTTATGAATATTTATTATTTAAGTAATGCGTGTTGAAATTTTTCAATTTTTCATAAAGCGTACGTCCTTTGTGCATGCCAAGAGAGCAGCAGACTTCAGAGAAGATGCAAGACAACATAACACAGGTTATGTTATATACTGGGGAAGAGTATGTGATACCACTGCATACTACACATTTGCAAACAATTTTGCTTTCATGAGAGATATCGGGAAGTATTATTCATATTAGTTATGTATAACTAAGGACAAAACAAATGAGAGAAGGGCAGTGAATTGACTCAGCTTTCAAGTATCTCTTTTGAAAGGAGTACCACAGTGCTTTCCAGCTAGAATTTCTGAACAGTTTCAATGTAGTTTGCAGGCAGATAGGATTTCTGTTCTGGTTGTTCCAGAGTTAACTATAATATAAAAATAGGGTTTGAAAAGGTAACCGGGTTATTGTAATGTCCTATTTTCACTGAAGGAGAGACCATGAATATAAGGAAAATTTTCTTGTCGTAATTTCTCTCTTATATTTTTAAGTAAATGAAGTTGACTGTCATAAACCTAGTCCTATCTCATCTAGTGTGGCAGCTGAGAAAGGGTCAGGGTGACCCCAAATGCCAATTTTGAGCACAATCCAATTTAAGGTAGACTGGCAACTTCTTGTTTAAAACTACAGTTGCTGGCTTTATGCAAAATGTGATTAAAGCTGAAGCTCTCTATTACTTTTGATTTCAGAAAACCATTATGTATTATGCTGTTTCAATCACCACAGGCTACTTTTTAATATATTTTTTTTTTAACTGCCCCACTGTTTTCAACAGGCGCCAATTAAGATTCTGGGGTCAAAGGGTTAATTACATCTTCTTACCCACTATGTAGAATTTTCTGATTATTAACCAAGGTTGGATTAAGATGAAAAAGAACCGACACAAATGTTAATGCTTGCCCCTCCTCAAGAAGATTTATCATAATACCATGCTGAAATCTATATGCTCTCTTCAAAGCTGTTAAAGAATGAAATCTTGGAGGGAACGCTAAAATAAATGCTTTAAAGATATGCAAGTATCTGATTTATTGAGCCAGTTTTCTTATTCCTGAAAACTGTTCTAAATTAGCCAGGGAGGACTGATACAAGTTTTTCTTTGTCACATACCAGCAAGTCAATGTGGTAGACACGAAGGAAGTGAGGCTCAGATTTAAAAGCCACTAGCTACAGCACCCCAGAACAATAATGCAAATTATAATAATTTATATCCTCTGACATCAGAATAATAGAAAAATGTAAAGCAGAGGTTTTAACCCAAAATACTCCCTGCCTTTTACAGTATTTGAAGCATAGTGAGGTTGTTTCCTTTCAGGATATGAAATGCACTGTACCACTTTGACCGAATATGCACTTATGTATAATGCATCATAGTAAACGGATTTATATTTGTCAGAGGAATTTTGTCCCAGCCATTTTTGCATATTCCCACTACAGGCAAATTTAATTCGCTGGAGTCTTACTACAGTGTCCTTCTGGAGAATATCCTCATATTTCACACTATCCGTGAAGTCCCTAATTCTTTCTAGTGTGTTCCAATGCTTAAAAAAACCCTGTTACCCTGACCTAAACTCCAGTTAGAGTGAAGAATTACCAGTAGGCTAGGTTATTTTAATGACAGATTATTTTAAACTAAGCCTTCACCATCTGTTCCACCCCCTAATTATGAATGCAAAAAGGACATATTTCACAATTACATCAGTAAAAAGTAAGATATACATGATTTAAATGCATGTGTGTGTTCTTTGTCCAATGCAGCATGCATCTG